GGCCGCCGGAGCCCTTGGTTCGCAATGCTGTCTCGCGTATCATTTCGCCATCAATCTGCTGATATAACGAATCGTGCACTTCCTCAAATGGCCCGAAGAGTAACGAGCCAAGTTTGGCCTCTTGTGCCTCAGGGCGTTTCTCCTGAAGCTGTCTCATCACGTCGTCAGTCAAAGGCAGCACTCCATCACAATCAGCCTCACTGAGATATCTCAAAGCAGAATTGATCTGACCTTCCATGACCAACTTGGCGAATATCTTCGCTTTATTTGGAGGCTCCGTCCTTTTAGCCTTTGCTAAACTCTTTTGAATGGACCGGCCTTCACGAAGTAAGCTCTCGACTTCTCCTTCTTTCCATAGCGCTAGTCGTTTTTCCAAGCACTCTTTGTGATCTTTTGCCTTCGATTTTACGCTTGGCTTTTGCAGTGCCGTTGCCAAGAGAACAATTGCAGCTTTCAGCGCTATGTGTTGTGTTTGCGATGCGTTGTTCCAATCGTTTATATGTTGTGTTAGCTGGTCGATAAAGTCTCGCCCAACTTTGCCATACGGGACGAGGAAAGTATTTTTACGCCATCGCGTAATTTCATGGTATGCATTAATTATGGTTGACGAGTTGACCGTAATTATTGAGCCGTCCGCTCTGCGTCCCCAGATGGTAATCGATGGTATATCAACAGCAACATAGTCGGGTAGACGTCCTGCTTCATGTATGCCGGCGTGTGGTTCACCAAGACAGTCATTAGTCACTTCAAAGCCCTCTACAGCTTCGGTTTCTTGCCGTTCGTGACTGTTTTGGACAATATCATTGTCTGTATGCAAATCCAGATTGCTGTTTACCTCCAAATTTGCATTTTGACTAATGGTGTTTTGATTTTCAAAATTGTTAAATTCATGTTGTGAAATCGTGTTGTGCCTTCTCTGGTTTTCATCTAAGGGACAGACCATTAGAAAAGTGATGGGGGGGGGGGTAAATTTTTTTTGTTTGCATTTTTTTCCAGGTTGTCAGCTGTGTATGCATGTTTTTTTTAAATATGTCTTCTCGCATGCAATTTTTTTTCCAATACAACTATACAAATGTTAACGAAACTGTTCTCTTGACAAAAAATATCCCTTTAATACACACTGCAAAATTATATCTTTAAGCACCATATATGGACGAGTTTTTTAGGGGTCCAGAGCATGCTCACCCAGAAAATTTTTGAATCTAAATTCTCTGAAATACCATTTCCCGGACTTTGGGGAGAGATTTTACAGAATTCTGATGGTCAGAAAACGCCATTGTAACATATCAGAGGCCCTTGGCCAATGTTTTTGCTCTATAGCCTGAGCCTGGGGCCCCCATTTGCGGGCCCATTGGGGTTGGTGGCCCCCGGATTCTCCCAGTCCGAGCCCATAGTTGTTACGCCACTGAGGACAGTGGCAGTGTGAATCACTTATACGTGCATGGTTATAATTTTATATACAAAAATTTTACTTATTTACAGAAATAGTTACTTTAAATGTTCATTAGTTCGGGATTTGTCCATTCTTTATTTCTACAGCAAAATATGTAGTACGTTGATAATAATAATAATAATAATAATAATAATAATAATAATAATAATACATGTAGAGCCAATCAGAATTTTTTTTTACGTTTGCAAATTTACTTAACTGAATAATTACATTCGTTTACGTCCTTCGGTGCATGTTAACTATTTAACAGTTATTCTACGAACTCGAGTCGAATATGAGCTGATAGCCGATGAGGCGCGTAGTGCCGAATCGGCTATCGCTCATATTCGACGAGAGTGAATGGAATAACTGTTTTATTATATACACAAGGTCTGAATGGACAGACTTTGCTTTTAGGATATTTTCAATATTTTTCTATTCTGTTTATGTTTTTATCTTCGCTCTTTCGGCCGATTATTTTTTTCAAAAATATATATTTTTAACCATTTTAAATTTTAAAAATTCGTTTGCTATTAAACCTGTAAACAATTTGTGGGAGTCTTTTCATTGTGTTTTTAATCCTGTATAAAGGCTATAGAAAGCGAACAACTTGCCGTTTTCTCGTTCGCAAACGTCGGAAATTCAGTTTGTGCTGCCATTTTGTTTTTCTCTACTAGCAAGATGCGAGCTAATATCCTGCTAGTATAGAGAACCAATCAGATTGCAGAATACCTGATATCCAGACCTCGTGCATATAATAATTGGAGTTATTGATACCGACTGATATCTAACTGCTGCAGCCATGTACTCACTATTGATGCGTTTTTGTTTATAATTTCCATGGTAACTATATAGCCTACTGTAAAAGCGTAAGATTTGAGGCTGTTTTTCCTCACGTCTCCGTACTGGACTATAAGCCTTGCTTAACTTTACTAATACTTAAAATAGTAAAGTATTAAATTACTCTGGGATTAGGTATATACAAACATAGAGAACGCAACAAAACTGCAGCTTACCCATTTGAAGTGTGGCGCCATCTTCCACCAAATTTTCGGCTATCAGTTTCCCAATAGATTTTTCCACATTATTTGGTTCCTCGGTCTTCAATTCGGGTAAAGGATAGTCGACTTCAACCATAACGTCCACATGAGATTTATGAATTAAGCTGTCACCAAATGTTCTCGGCATTGACGGGTTACTTAACGCTGCAAAGATATTGAGATTGACAGTTAAACATCTGACTTTATATATATCGTGCCATTACAAAGGGCTTATATATTGAACACGAACGTAGAAAAGGGTATATGAATGAAATCTTATGAATAATGGCCAGGAATTACGGACATTATATGAATCTACTGCCTTACCGTTCTACATATCACGCTGAAATATGGCTTCAACTGTGTAAACTGTATTGTGCGACGTTGTAAATAGCAAAATGTGAGAATATAGGTAGGTCGTTTGCAGCTAGCCGCACTCGATGGAGGCAAACCAAAGTCTGTCGAAGAATAGTGTAATATTGACACGGTGTATGGGTTTTTACGGACCGCTTGTCAACCAATCAGAATAGAGAATTTTGAAAAGCCATATAATAATAACGCATACGTCACAAGTAGGGTCAAAAGCGAAATTCGTATCTTGCACACCATGCACATGTCATTATCAATATGAAACTCGATTTTCCGAAGTCTTTTTATAGTACTCAATTAACTCACAACATGTTTTCGAAGAAATTTAGTCCCACATGAAGAAGTTTTAGAAACTTTTCGAAGAAACTGCATACTGTTTTTGGTCAAAATATTTCGAAAACCAAGCAAGGTACGAAAAAGTTGTAAAGGATCTTCATATAAAACTTTTAATTAAAAGTTCTTTCAAATAAGACAAATATTTTTTATTGCCATATCCCTTTAAACCAAACCAATATTACACTAAATATTTCGACAGACTTTGTTTTGCTTCGAGCGAGTGCGGCAAGTTGGAAAGGACCTATTTACGCGTGATCATTAATCATGCACATCCCTGGACCCCTCCCCCTCCGACATTTAACGATCTTGATAATGCGGTCATACTTAAATCCATGATGTATATCATGTACGTGTTCAGCTTAAGGTGGCTCCATACACTTTTCATCATCGGGGGACTAGTATCTAATCTTTAGTTTTCACGCGAAAATGTTAAAAATATATGCAAAAATAAATACAACTTTTTCAGTCTATAAAAATCCGAACCACAAGTCATGTTTATTTTGATGTTTTAAGTCTTTCTTGTTCTTACTTTTTTCTCAAAGAACAAACTTCGTCCTGATTTAGCCCTGAACATTGAATAACTAGTCTTTCTAGATGAAATGGTAAATTAAGGTAAAAAATGCAATGTTTAACGTTCAAACTCTTGTGAAAACCGGCGATCGATTGCACTTACAACTGCTAAATGTATTCAAAGTGTTACTAACAGCAAAGGAATTCATTGAAACAGCATCATGCGCCGCTCAAACTGTTTTAAATTGTCAACAACAACATGAAAACACACAAGTTTATACGACTGGAAACGAATATAAAACTATGTAGAAAAGCCAAGTTCATACATGTCACACATACAGTCGAACCCCTATTAAGCGGACACCTTCGGGACCTCGCCTAAGTGTCCGCCTAAAAGGGGTGTCCGCTTAAAAGGGGTATGTAGAAAAACACAGCAGGAGGCAAAGGTGTGTAATTAGGTGTGTAATTTGAGTATCATCATGGCTGGCGGCTCACAGTCCTCCGTCCTCATTCGTCACTTCCTCAATAATCTTGGCTCTGATGTCTGCGCGCCAAGTTGGTGTGTCACTGTCAATGTGCCATGTAAATTGATCTCAATTGTTATTTACTGTCGAATATTAAATACATTTTATCAGACAATCTGTCATCTGTCCGCTTAAGAGAGGTTGATTTGCCCATTGGGACCTCCAGAAAGGTGTCCGCGTCCGTTAAAGAGGGGTGTCCGCTTAATAGGGGTTATGATAATAGTTTTTTATTAAAGAAACCAAATGGGACCTGAGATATGTGTCCGCTTAAAAGAGGTGTCCGCTTAAGAGAGGTGTCCGCTTATAGGGGTTCGACTGTATCTTATACCAAACGACACAATCACCTGTTTTCTTGGCGTTATCCCGAGTTAGCATGCAAAACAAAAGATATTTGCATTTCTAAGCAAGAAAACACAACATATATTAGATATTTCGACGAGACTAAAAACTTTTTTGTGTATGTTTTTTGGAGATGCGCCTGCGAAAATATGTACGCGCATGTCAATTCATTGATCTCGCAGAGCTCGAAAAACTTTCGGCCGAGCGAGTGAGATACCACAATAATACGGCGTAATTCAAAATTTTGCACGGTAACATGTCATGAAATTTACAAAGAGAATATCAAAATTTAAAAAAATCTGTAGACTGGAAGACTCTAAATCCGCAATTTTTTATTCTGGCTATTCTACTCTACAGAATTTTTTTATTTTCAGGGATAAGATTCCGCATTAAAAGTGAAACTAATAGAGCAGTTAAAAATGGGGTGTCACCGGCAATATTCGGAAAATAAAGAATAAAAACCTGCTTAAAATAGAAAAAAATACCATATTTGGTGAGACTACTGTTACCATGGAAACAATATTATGTTCAAGAATATTGCAAACCTTTTCTACCAAATACTTAATTTATACTCGGGAATGCTTAAAATTAATAGATGAAGTGATAAAAATTATAATTTGACATTTTTACGCAATAAGGGATTTATACTACGGAACTGTATGGAGCCACCTTAAAGTTGAATATAATTAAGTGTGCACCACAACACTCTAATCTATTAATAAGTAATCACTTTAGAAGGGAGGTAGGCCAATCAATGTGTCTGTATGATCATGATGATATACGTCATACATAAAAGTGCACCTGTGATGATATATATACATCATAGATTTAAGGATGCACCGTATGATGATTATTAAACACCAAACAAATGAAGAGGATGTGTTGACACTGTTGCACCAACAGTGTGGAATGTTTAACTCGTTTGAAAGGGTCTAAACACACAGACATTTTAACGATATGTTTAATTTTTTTGGAAAGGAAAGCATTGTTTTAGCGGTGGAACAAGTCAAATCAGAAAGTCAAAATCCTCAAATTAAACGGCAAAATCCGCATAAAATTTCGTTTTTGTTGCAAGCGGGCTGGCTTGTTTTTATCCCACCTTCCTATCGTGTCGGCTATTAATACAGCCGAGATCACCGCAACCGAACTATTTTTTTATATGAACACGATGTAAAAAGGCCATAGTAAAATAACCGAAAATTGCGAGATATCTCGGTAACCGGCCCATATGAGCAGGCGTTTAATATTTAATATAATAGTTTTGTTTGTGGAAACACCACGTAAATTTATTACTGCAATAAATTATAAAGGATCTTCATATAAAACTTTTAATTAAAAATGATTACTTTTAATCTACAGTGATTACTGAAATGGATTTAAGTATGACCGCATGGTCAAGATCGTTTAAATAACAACCTTTAAAAATTTAGAAAATTTACTCTCAACCAATGTGATTTCTGAATTGCTAATAAAAAATATTATCCTTACCAATTATATACTTCGCATTTTGAATGGCTGATCTTGCAATATCGACACTTGGTCCCAGGCTACAAAAGCCGTGTCGATCAGGTGGTGAAACTTGTACCAAAGCAACATCAATATTTAAAATATTTCTTCGGAATAAAAGTGGTATTTCACTGAGGAACACTGGCATGAAGTCAGCACGACCGTCATTCACAGCTTGTCTTACATTTGCTCCAATGAAAAGACAGTTATCTCGGAAAATACCTACATATATAATTCATAAAAAATAAATCTGTAAAATAACAATATCTCTGTAAAATATCCCTATATATGTGATGTTGTGATATTGTTCACTCGGTAATATGATAGAATGAAATGTTCTCAAGTGAATGATTCCAAACCTTTCCACATGAAAAAAATATTCCTGCCGCGGCTGGGTTCAGAACCCGCGAACTTCGAAATGCTAGCTGGACGATTTTGTAGTTTTTGAAGTTTTTCAGCTAGGGTTTTGTTGCAATTGTCCCAAACTGTGCAACAGTAATTGAAATATGGCTGAACCAAGCAATTAAAAATTAATTGCAAAGTTGCGACTGGGACAAATGATCGAACACGTTTTAAAGCGCCAATACCAGAAGCAATCTTTTTTGTTAATTCATTAATTTGTATATTCCAAGATAGATTCTCATCAAGGTACACTCCGAGAGATTTTGCTTGTAAAACCTTGTCAATAGAAACCCCGTCTATTTCTAAACATGGAACTGATCGAAATGTGGCTATTCTTTGTCGTGAGGCAATTAGCATAAATTCAGTTTTGGATTGATTTAAAGTAAGCTTATTGGCGATAAGCCATTTGTTCACATTTGCAAGGTCATGGTGATAATTTATGTCGTCAATATTGTTACTTGCAAATGTTAAATTAGTATCATCCGCGTACATTCGTGCCTGGGAGTGCTCAAGGCAATTTGGTAAGTCATTTATATACAGTAAAAATAACAATGGTCCTAAAATAGTCCCCTGTGGAATACCACAGAGTAACGTACGATTATTAGAAAGGTGACCATTAACATAGCATTTTTGACTGCGGTCACTTAGATAAGACTTAAACCAATTAGCCACAGCACCCCCAAGACCATACGCATTCAGTTTTGATAGTAAAATTCCATCATGGTTAACTGTGTCAAACGCTTTCTTAAGATCTAGGAAAACTACAGCATTAACTCGGCCTTGGTCAATGTTGTATGCCCAGTTATTGGTGGACTCAAGAAGCGCGGTGACAGTTGAATGTAGACTTCGAAACCCTGACTGGCTATTACATAGTAAATTGTTGTCAGTAAGAAAGGCATAGATTTGATCATAAATAATTCGCTCGAAAACCTTCGCTACAACAGGGATTATCGAAATTGGGCGATAATTATTCAAGTCCCTACGCTCACCGTGTTTAAATAATGGAAGGACTTTTGAGCATTTCCATTCATCAGGAAAGATAGCGGTATTAATAGAGCAGTTGAAAATTACGGTAAGGGATTCCGACAGTAGGTCAGGACAGTAGCGAAGAAGCTTAGCAGATATTTTATCTAGGCCAGTTGCTTTAGATTTACAGAGTTTCTCCAGTGATGAAGTTGTCGACTTCAACTCAAAAGTATTACCACTAATATGGCAATTGAGATATTCTAAATATGAGCAGTTATTTTCATCACAAGGTATCTTCTCCATAAGCTTAGGTCCAATGCTAGCAAAATGAGTGTTAAACGAATGAGTGTTAAACGTCTCTGAT